ATATGTTTAGTTTAGATATGATAATAACAGTTGAATTATCTATTGTATATATAAGAAAATGAACTTTAACGACTTTTGGTATGATTAATGAACTCTTAAAAACGCATGTCTAAATATCCATCAAGGAACATGTTATTGTTATAAGATTGTCTTATTTATAATGAGAATCAATCAATGATTACTGTCGAGGGTTTTATCTCTAATTAGATAAGGATTTATATATTCTGATTTTAACTTCCGTAGCTATCACACGTACTTTTGTTATAATTATATTTTGTTAAATTTGCTTTTGTTTCGCAGAAATTGGTAAGTATGAATCCGAATTATTTCAATTTATCCATAAAATTTATGTGCCATTATATAATTTTTTTTATTATCAAGAAATCATAATTTTGAGAAGATTGATTTAGATTGTTCAGACTGCAGTTCTACATCAACGATTATTAGGTTGGAATCTGAAAGAGAGTTAGACTTTGATGATGAAATTGAATTTGATGGTTGGACTGAAATTGATATAAGTACAAATACTCCACAGCCACAAACTCCTTTTGAATTCATGGGAAATTCTTCCATAAATGAAGATGTTGCATTGCTAACAACACCTCTGCAATTTTTTGATTATTTTTTTGACGACGAATTGGTTGAAAAAATTGTTGAAGAAACAAATGTATATTTTATACAAGAACAGAGAACGGAGCCTTCAACGTCTGGTGCTGTAATGGATTGGAATGTCACAGCAGCAGAAATGCGAATATTTTTTGCAATAGTGTTAAATATGAGTATCGTATACAAGCCAGATGAAAATATGTATTGGTCGAAAAACCCTATTATTGCCACTCCATTTTTTTCCAAAGTAATGTCCAATAGGCGGTTCAAATTGATCAAAAAGTATTTACATTTTATGAATAATGAAACCTATAATTATGATTTACATCCTTATCCGAAACTGAATAAAATTTGGCCTGTATATGATTTTCTGAATAAAAAATTTAAAACTGCTTATACCCTTCAAAGGAAAATTACAATTGACGAAAGCCTAATGTTGTATAAAGGAGCACTAAGCTGGAAACAATATATGCCCATGAAACGTGCAAGATTTGGCATCAAAAGTTACTTCTTGTGCGTATCGAAAACTGGGTATTGGCTATGTGCGAAGGCATGGAAGGGGAAGTCAAATCGACCGAAGCGTTCGTTGTGGCTACTTTGAGCATTAAAGTAAGCTACTATAACAGAAATTTTAAACAAAAACACATAACATATTGGTTTATTTCAAATTTAAATAAGATAATTAAAAATAAGCCACCAAAGCTGTTGTATAGTGGGTTGTAGAAATACTAGCAGAAAAAGTGACTGCAAATTCTATACATTTTCTACAGCTAAGTGGAAAGAAAATCAATGGGAAAAGTGGATCGCTGCGGTTAGAAGAATAAAGTAAGTATCATAACCTTATAGTTATAAAAATTCAATTCGGAGTACTGTGAATAGTTGGAAAATTGTTATGTTTTTTAGCAAAAAGAAAAATTATAAGTCAATAAATTGTTATTTTATCAAAATTTAATGCTTACTAGAAAAAATTGTTTTGCAAACAATGTAATACAAGGCTGAAATAATGATAAATATATATTTATATATTGTATATTGATTATGTGTAACTATTATCTATATATTAATTACATTTTATTATATAATAAATGTAATTTTGTGATTAAAAGAAAAATAAAAGTTATCACATAGCGAAAAAATGTTTATTTTGCAAACAGTTTAATTAATACAATGCTGAAATAATGCCAAATATATATTTGTAGTGTTGATGGATCACCGTGGGTTCCCAAGCCCTATGATCGCATTTGCAATGAATCGGTCGAGGTATTGAGTCCTACCTACTTGTCAACTTGGTCTTGTCTTTATAATAATGTCTAAATTATGTCTTTATAATAGTGTCTAAGTCTTTAGTTTGACCAAAAAAATGAGTAAATTAATTTATTATTTACTTATTCTATTGATAAAATACTATTTATCATTATTATATTGTTTTTATTAAGAACTATTCCGAGATTATGACATAAGCTTTGAGGCACTTAACCTTAAAATTATTTACTGCATTTCTTTATTTAATTAATCATTATACTTAACTATGTTTAAGTACGTTGAAGTAAATTTAATAATTTCAATAAACATTCAGCGTTCACATTATTACTGTATCTTGTTTATTATTATTTATAACAATTATTTAATATCTTTTTCTTTAACAAACATGTAAAACCCATGAAAACCACACACTGATACCCCCAATTAGTTCATATTTATTACGGCGCTGCATGGGCGCTGCAGTCACGCTCGGAGCGAATTGATACCGGGTGTTTGCCGTATGAAATATTTTTAGTTCTGAATAAATTTTACATAATAACAACTAATATTGATGTAAGTGATGGCTTAGCTAATGGTTGTGTGGGAAAATTAGTGTACATAGAACGTGGCGATAATGATGAACTTCTACGTTTATGGTTTGAATTTCCTGGAGATAGGTAACAAAATTAGGAAGAAAGCTGCACATCATATTCAAACTCTTAATATCAGTAGGACAGCTGTGCCGATTCTCAGGAGATCTTATTATTATTGATGTTATGTGATTATTAATAGATGATTTTTAAAATTCAAATATGATCTTTTTTCTATTTTTATCTTAATTGCCTACTCATACAATATTAAAAGTTTTACTTCAATCGCGTGTGATCCTTACGCGCACTCTTTTTTATATTATCTGGTATATGAGTATCCGTTTTGTTTATAACCCATTTGTTCCAATCTAAACCTGTATTGATAATCGGATGTGCTTTGTCTCTTAGCTCTATTAGTTTCTTAAGTTTGTTGCATTGTTTGTTCTTTATCTGATCAAAAAGTTTTTGGTATTTCTTTTGTTCTAGAAAAATAAATTTATCGAATTCTAATTCTTCTAATGAGTCCTGTGTCACACGTTTGGATATTATTAAATTATTATTTAATCGATTGATTTCTTTTGCACTGTCTGCAATTTCATATTTCAAAATTTTATTCTGAAGGATCAATAGACTGTTATTTAGTTTTTGTATGTTGTTGTAATTTTTATTTTTGAATGTTAAATTGTTGGTGATAAAATTAGGTAAAACATTTTCGTGCTTGCATTTAATTAAGAAATTCCTTTTGTTAGTGGTCTTCGCTAATGCATTGAAAGTTGATGTTATTTGTCTGCAATGGTATACGGCTTCTGAACCATATTTATTGTAAACTGTGTTGAAAAACGATTGATCCATTTTTAGTTCTGGAGTATATAATATAGAATTTTATGATATGAGTGGAACGAATATTAATTGTTTAATATGAACAAAACAGCACTCAGATTTGTTTAACACAACTTTATTTTATGATTACAGACGTTTCGAGACCATGGTGTGTCTCATCTTCAGTGTAATTTCAAAAACAGTTACTTATATACTACACATTCTTTAATAATTTATTTAAATTTCATTTAATTTTTGGTATACAAAAAACACTGCTCTTATATTGGCCAGACCTGCCAGAACTTAGAAAAGAGACTCAGGCAACATGAATTACAATGTGAAAAAATAGATAACAAAAAATTGAAAAGTACACTTGTGGATCATGCTAATATCAACAACCATAAGTTTGATTTTGACAATCCCCAAATTTTATTCCATGAGAAAGACTTATTTAAACGGAGCATGGCAGAATCAATGTTAATAGTTCGGACTAACAATAGCATAAATCTAAGAACCGACACAAATATTTTACATGACACTTATATAAACATCATTAATAATTTATAATTTTTTTCATTTATCTTATTCGTTTTCAATAAATTAATTTGTTTTTTCATTTTTATCGATTTTTGTATGCGATAGCACTCCTTTTGTTTACATTATAATGATACCCATTCTGTCTCCATCTAGATAAGTACTTCAAATTTGTTTAGAATATTTCTGTAAGTGTTATATGTTTCTTTAGTACTGTGTCAAGCTTTGCAAGGAATAGTTGGTGTTTTTTGTATACCAAAAATTAAATGAAATTTAAATAAATTATTAAAGAATGTGTAGTATATAAGTAACTGTTTTTGAAATTACACTGAAGATGAGACACACCATGGTCTCGAAACGTCTGTAATCATAAAATAAAGTTGTGTTAAACAAATCTGAGTGCTGTTTTGTTCATATTAAACAATTAATATATATATATATATATAATATAATATCATGATAATATCATGATGATATAAAATTAACTCTGAAATATGATAAATAAAGTGCACCAAAATATATTTTAGTTGGATATACATATATTTTAACAAATCTATAACTTAATTAACGATGTATTTTCTATACTAATAGTTAGATAAAATTATAATCAGTACATCAATTTTAATTACTGCTTACTTATTTACATTTTTGATCCGCGCTTTGACGCTAATTCATTAGTGTCGGTTCGGGTATTCTCGGCAGCCCGATGCGTCGGGTTGCTCGCGGCGGGAACGAGCGCCGCGAACGCAAGCTATTGAAATTTTCGTGTCGCTTCGACCATGTTCGGCAGGGTACGTGATTCTAAAAATGAACCCCCTCCCATTTTCAAACAAAAAAAAAAGAAAAAAGTGCGCTATGGACATGCGCAGTGGACAAATTTGAAGGAAATTCGTGCGTTCGCACAGTATCACTCCGCTGCGCACATTTGTTCGTGACGCACCATTCGCCGCACGAATTCGTACAGTGGAGACGCGGCATTATGAATTTGGATTTATCTAGAATTGAACCTAGGGGTAAATTTTCATGCTACGCTCGTCGCGCCTCTGTAGCAGGAGCGGTAAATTAATCTTGAAATAATCGAAAAGCGCTCCAGTTTTCCATCTAGTACTATAATGCTTTTAAACTGAGTTTTTATTTAATTCTTTTAAGATGTTGAAGAATATTTTAGTGAAACCCGTATAATTTAATTTACAATATTTTATCATTTAGTGCTTACAATAGAGTTAGTTTTATTGCCAGCTTCTGATTATGGATGTTTTTACTATCACAGATTCCTCAGATGACGAAAGTTGCAATTCTAATAAGGTAAACTAATTTATCCACATAAAAGAGTTGTTTTTAAAGTTAAAATTTGATTTGTGTTTTGTAGAGCTTTGAATTGCCAATTATAGTCCATGTAGAAAGTACTTCGAAAAATGAAAATGCTGATTATCAAAAAAATGGAATTATAAAGAAGATAGGTGATTGTACTCTTACTTTAAGGAAACATCGAACATCTGATGTCATTGAAATCATTGAGGATAGTGATGATGAAAGTAAATACAACAATAGTTTACAAAAGACAATTGAATCTAATGATAGGTTATTTGTTACTTCATCTATAGAAACAAACCACCAGAATGTTAGCTGTTCAGTTAATGCAAGAGTTCCATTATTGTCTTTAAAAAGCAATAATGATATTCAAACAACAAAAATTAATATATCTGCAACACCAAACATTAGAAAATCAAATAATTTGGTAATTGGAAATAGTAAAATCACTGATAAGAAACATATTACACCAAAAAAATTAGAAGAAAACATCATATCATTGATAGAAGATTCAGACAGCGATACAGAACCAATTTCAAGTAAAAAACCCAAGTTAGAACTTAAGAGTAAATTTAAGGAAGAGAGAACTCTGCCTTTGATAGCATTCGTCAAGGATAAACCTGAAGAATCAACAAATCATGTAGATAAAATTAAAAAAATAAATGATGTATCAACAATTAATTCTGTGGTAAAGGTAAAGACGGAAACAATCAAGAAAAATGCTGATTTACGAACTGAAAAATCAAATAGTATTAATGAGGCTGCAATTCACAGAAATGATGAGGCTTTTAAAAACTTTCTACAAGCATGTAAAGAAGTTGAAAATGGTGATCAAATGAATTTAATCATTGAGAAAATTCAAAAGTACCATAATAATGCTCATTCAGATTACATAAAATCGAATTCATTTTATGATTTAATTCAACGATCCATAGAATCAATAATAAACAGTAAAAATTATTACCTGTATATAAAAGATTTTATAGAAGAATTACGGGCCAGAAAAGTGACCGTAAAAGCAGAAAGTACTACAAGTGCCACTGAATGTGATGATAACAGGTTAGATCCCATAAGCAAAAATAAGGAAGAAAAAATTCACAGACTTGAAAGTGCATTGAGAAAAATAATTAAGATATTAAAGAATCTAGAAGAAAAAGAAGTTGATTTTGATGATGAATATGATTCTACATATCTGCTACAAGATAGATATGAACGTCGAATGATAAAAGTAATTATTTTTATTAATTCTTTTGTTTATTAATTTTTTTGTTAGATAACTGTGTTTTTATATTGCCAAAATATAACTTATAATGTGCTGGGCGTTGCATTTTAAACTCATGTAGGGAATTCCAATTGAATGTTTTCATTTCACTGCTGAAATAATGATAATTATTATTATTTAAACCTTTATTGTTGAAACTATAAAGAATTATATTTTTTTACTTATTGATTTAGATCTACAATAAACTCTGTGAAATAACTGGTGAACAGCCAAGTGCAGGCCGTGCAATAAAACGTAAAATTTATGTAGCAATCAGTACTCACCAATCCATTAACAAGGCTGTTCAAGATTTTGTTAATAAAAAAAAGGAGTTTCCTAATTATCAAGATATTCTGAAAATTGTAAAATCGTCCAATGAACTAGAGTCATTAAAAATGAGTAATGCTGCTGAAGCACTTGAAGGTAAAATAAAAAGGCATTTTTTTGTCTTTTTTTTCTTAATGATTTCAATCTTTTAGCCCGGAAAGTTTTTGAGCACATAGGAAGTGAATTGCAGAGGAGGCGGCAAGCAGATTATTATTTATCAATATTAGATTATCTTCAAAGTGAAACTGATCCTGCTGAAAAAGATCCTTCTCTTAAAAATCAACTTAAGAAAAATTATGATGAGAATAAACATAAAATTCCGGAAATAATTAATAAGTATGTAAAGTAACTATTTAAATAGGAAAATATTGCTATAACTGAGCAAATGAGATTGTTTGCATTTTATGACTATTTGTTAAATAAGCAATGATAATTCAAATACATATTTATTTTTTTCACAATTAGAATTACTCGAATTCACTTAATTTTATTTTGTTATGTTTAGGTATGTAGAGAAGGCTGAAAGCATAGGCTTGAAAGAAAAAGAGGTCGATAGTGATCAAGCAAAGAGCGATGACGAAAAGGAATCTGAAGCAGAAGAAAGCGATGGCTCTAGTGCAGATATTATTTAAAACTAAAAAATATAAATTTTATTTTCATGACCATAGATTTTATTAAAACTTTAATGATAATTTAGGACTTTAATAATTAGGACAAATTTTGTTATTGATTTGCCATAAATAAAAATGAGTTTAGCTGAAAAATAATTAAAAAGCTTCATTTTCAATGAGTTTGTATAATTTTATAAACGTACAAAATTTATAAAGTTTAATGTAAAAAATAAAATATTCTTCAGATACATAACAAAAATAAAAATCACTCAATTCACTTCATAACATCTTTAAACTAATTGTATCTTGAATATCTTTAAAGAAGAGTATTATAGCAGAGCATTCAACGATTTCATAGTCATTCTAAATTTCAATCAAATTCGTCACAATACTTTGATAATTTAGTTCACAGTATGACTGTGTTCGTATCAGCCTCCAAACCCAGATCATTAATCAACTCTCTGAATATATTTGGATGTAGATTTTTATACAACTGTTGTAAAATAAACCAATCGCCTACATGACATGAATATACTAAATTGCGAATAACACCTTTGGAAATGCTGCAAATAATTAAATGGTTAAAATTTTTACAGTAGTGATTGAAGAGAGAAATGTGAAAAAGGTGTGTGATCTATAATGGATTCTCAATAAATAAACAGTTTATGAATTCAAAAGCTATACAAAATATAATTGTTGTATTTTTATACATTTAAAAAAAATGGACTGACTTAATCAAGAAAAATATGTACTTGGTGGTTGAATTTATTTAAATTTATGTATCTTACATACTTCTTTGTTTGAGCCATTAGTAGCCACACTCGCACTTCTGGACAACAGAATACAACCGCTCTATATATCAAAGCTAGGCCTGACAATAATGCTAATCCGACAAACCAAAACCAGAGAACTGCATATAGCTTTTCATTAACAATGTTCAATGGTAGAACACACAAAGCATCTTTGATCTGTTTAGTTCCTGATGGACCAATATCAGTGAATGAACATTTTGCTGTCTTCGGGAATATCTAGTAAAAATTTCATTATTAATTATTACTCTCTGAGCATTGTAAAATAATTTTACTTACTCTTGACATAGGATCATTATCTGACCAGTATGTGCTGGTCATTATATTTTCACTTAAAAACACCGAAACAGCAGGTCCATAATTTGCAAACTCACCACCCAAGAAGAGATTAACGATAAAGAATTGTCCCACCTCAGAGAAAAAATTGATGCGGATTAATTCATTTATATTATTTCACTAAATTGTAGGGTTTCTTTTTTTATTACAAGTACTTCAATTATAGAACTTTATGTAATAATAATTCTATTAATATTGAAATAAAATAGTTCTATTGTTAGATTTTATATGAGAGTGAAGTTATAGTTCTGACTCATGATTATTAATTCTTCCATCTACTTTTTATAATTAAATATTTCATTATCTCATTAAAGTAGCAGAAATTTTATTTTTGCAATACATACCACATTTCCAAAATTGAGTATTTCACAAATAACAAATCGAATAGCATAAAATGCATGAGTCGCTTTATTCAGTTCAGAAAGATAACTAACTAAGTAATTTCTCCTAGCGGTTGTCCATTGTTCTTGAGACACTAAAGGACCCACTGTATAAAATAAATATATCATTCATTTTCAATAATAATATGCAACATGAAAATAACTTGCTATTGACAAAAATATACTGATACATCAGTTCTCTCAAAAACTCCAATCGTATTACAAACTTCAAGCACTGATATAACAGTGTATTTGAATTAAAACGCTTTAATACAGCATCAAAACAAATTTTTCATTGTTAAGTTTAAAACTCGTACATAAATCTCAGATGCATTAAAAATTTTATATAATAAACATTTCTATAATAAACTTACCGAGATCCTGAGTTAAAGCCTTAATTCTTCCATTTTCCCAGCATTTCCACATATATCTGGGAATATAAAACATTACAGCTTGTAGGACGAGCACGATACTAACCCATTGATAGTATTTGTGATGTAATTCTTGTGTAACTAAAAATTATGCAAAAAACATTTAAATTAAAAATATAAATAGAACTACAAATCTTATCGGCTCAATATTTTACTATATTTTAAAATGAATGTGGATTAAAATCAGAACAAATACTTCTGTAAAATACACAAGTAGTGACTGAGTAATAAAAAGACAACACACAATAAAATTTGTATGAATTGTATTCAAAAATTTTAAGCTATAATTAATCTCGTGAAGTATTGTTGAATACAACAGTAGAATATAGTGATTAATTAAAGTGTGGATTTATTTTATTTAATGCCTATAGAACATATAGCAAAATTTACAATTTTGACAGCATAATAATGATTCCTGGGGTATCCAAATTTCATCATGTTGGCTTAATAATATAATATTTAGTTCATGTATATTATGCCTTTCAAAAATGTTACCAAAATGTTGCTAGTGTAGATGTAGTTTCAATTATACATATCTTTAGAGTTCAAACAATATTATAACTAATTAGGGTAAACAACTTACTGCCATTATGATCAGTAATAGTATAAGTACTGAATATCCAGCAAAACGTATTGAAAGTCTCTCTTTTTATACCAGCAGTGCTAATACAATCAATAGGATCCCCAATGTATTGTTTCGACGTAACCAATATCGAAAACACTATTAACAATATAACTGTGGCCTTATAATGGAGTCGAAACACATTATTGTCAATACATATGTTGTCTAGCTTGAGATGCTTAAGTACAGGATTGAAAACATTTATCATTTTGAAGTATTTTATTTACAACCATATCACTTGAAATGCGTTGTACAAAATATTTTTCCACATGCGTTTAAAACTTAACCGGATTTACTCGCCAATCGCAATAGAGGCGCTGCAGAGCTGTGAAGTGAAAGGCACCCTACCCCATAGATAAACAAGTATAATAGATCGCTATGTCTGGCGGTTTGACGTTACCTCGATTGAAATACAAATTTTTAAAAATAGATGGCAGCACATGTATAATATTTTAATTACCCCTGGTTTTACTTCTTAATTTGTACGTATCGTATACAGCCCCAAAAACTGAATAATTTTTAATATTGGAAATAAGAACAAATCATACGAAATACAAAATATATATTTTCAAAGATATTACATATGTTTAAAGAACAATTAAAATTATGTTTATATTAACAATTATAATTACAGTTATGGAATGCTTGAAAATATAATAATTATTATACATAATTATAAAAGTATTATAATTTCACAATTATGCTTAAATAATATTTCAAAAACTAAATATCTAAGTGAAGAAAATCACAGAAGTATTTAACTAAACTAAGCACAAATAACTGACTAATATTAATTACTTAATGACTAATATTAATATATTAAAATCTTAAAAACTAAGAAGAAACTACAAGCACAGGAGCACGCAATGAAATTACAAATTTAGAAGGAATGACAAATAATACAAAAATTTAAAGGGTTAAGAAAAAAACAAATAATTTGTTAAAAAGTACAAATACTTCACAAACAAAAAAGTCCTAAAAACATAAAATATATATATTGATATCAAAATTGAGAAAAATTGAGAGGATTAAAACTCATTTACGAGACATTGTTCTTTATTAATTCTGCATGTAATAGTTATTTCGCTATCTAATGAATTAATAGTAAAGTTGCATTTAACAAAACCTTTGAATAGTTTCTGTACGAGTGTTTTATAACATTACATTTAACCATGTTTTATCATGAAAACATTATCATTAAAATTGCCATAAAAGATCAACAAAGTCGTTACAATGAACAGAATAATGTTTTATGCACATACAATTGTTTATGAATCAAAAGATAAAAGCAATATTTTTGATTCCCAAGGTCGGTAACAAATATATCTTGAATTTAAACATTATATTGGGATGTTACACAAGTTTTATTTGAAGAATATTATAACACTAATCTTCAATCAAAATACATTAAAATATTATGTATGCTAGCTCTATATTTGATTTGCTCGTCAGTAGAATCCCTTTATTTATTTTAGTCTCTTTGATCTTAAATAAATTATTAATATAATTTGCTCGTCAGTAGAGTCTCCTTTCTATTTTTTGAGTTCACTCAATTCAATTCAATTTTATCTTCTTCCAACTTTATATTTGATTTGCTTGTCAGTAGAGTCCCTTTTGTTGAACAAATCAAAATTTAGGACTTAGGTTTGCTCGTCAGTAGAGTCCCCTTTCTATTTTTTTGAGTTTAGTAGAGTCCCTTTTGTTCTAACTTCTAACTCTATATGTAATTTGCTCGTCAGTAGAGTCCCTTTTATGTTAATTAGATTTGCTCGTCAGTAGAGTCCCTTTTTATTTCACTTTGTATTTAATGTTTATTCGTCAGTAGTCCTTTTTTTAAAATTAATATTGCTCATAAGTAGAGTCCTTTTTTAGCTATTTTAGTTTTTATTTAATGTTTGCTCGTCAGTAGAGTCCCTTTACATTATACTTTTACTTTGCTCGTCAGTAGAGTTTCTTTTATATTGAATTTTGCTTTGCTGATCAGTAGAATTCTCTTTTTGTCTCTAACTTAATTTTGCTAATTGAGTTCTGTTTTTCTCAATTTTGATAGTTTGCTCGTCAGTAGAGTCCTTTTTTCTCTATTTTGATAGTCTGCTCGTCAGTAGAGTCCTTATATCTCTGTTTTAATACTTTGCTTGCCAGTAGAGTCCTTTTATTTTATTGTCTTACTTTGCTCGTCAGTAGAGTTCTTTTTTATTTATTTTAATAGTAGTAGAGTCCATTTTGCTTTTACTTTGAGTTTGTTCGTTAGTAAAGTCCTTTCACATTTAATGTTAGGTTGCTCGTCAGTAAAGTCCTTTCTCTCTATTTTAATACTTTGTTCGTAATCTTTGTAGAGTCCTTTTATCCCTAATTTTGGTTCGCTCGTCAGTTTGCTTGTCCGTAGAGTCCTTTTTTCTCTCCTTTGATAATTTGCTTGTCAATAGAGTCCTTCATCTCTATTTTAATACTTTGCTTGCCAGTAGTGTCCCTTTATCCTATTCTCGTCGTAGTTTTCTCGTCAGTAGAGTTTGTTTTTCTCTATTTTGATAGTTTGCTTGTCAGTAGAGTCCTTTTTTCTCTATTTTGATACTTTGCTCATCAGTAGAGTCCTTTTTTCTCTATTTTCATAGTTTGCTCGTCAGTAGAGTTCCTTTTATCTCTATTTTAATACTTTGCTTGTCAGTAGAGTCCCTTTATCTTATTCTCTTAGTTTGCTCGTCAGTAGAGTTTCTTTTTCTGAATTTGCTTATCATTTCTTTTTCTATCTCATTATTGTTTTGTCTGTCAGTAGAGTTGTTTTCCTTTGCTCTGCTCGTCAGTAGTGTTCTTTTGTTTGCTCGTTAGTAAAGTCCCTTTTTCATTATTCAGTCAAGTACCAGGGTATCTTTTTAGTCATGTCAGTAGAGTCTTTTTATCTTTCTTTTTACTTTTATTTTGCTCGTCAGTAGAGTCCTTTTCACTCATTTTCCTTTTTACTCTCCACCCGCCCTGAATTTCCAAACTCACCCCATAAAAATAATGATTCATTATAATAATGTTCTACAAAACGTACAACTACGACACCACGGTGCATAATAAGTATTTGTTTACACCTGTCGGTCAGGCGTAAAAAACACTTTGCATCTCTTTCACACTCCACTATATCCCTATCATTCTATCTCTCTCTCTCACTCTATTACTACTCCTAAAATGAGGCTAATGGTTTCACGGTGATTTTTTCCATTCCGATAGTTAGTAGGAGGGTTAGTTGTAGGGTTAGTTGGAGGGTTAGTTGGTGGTCAGTTTGTCGGTAATGAATTGGTTTGGCCGAATCGCGTGGGTAATCTTAATGGTGGTGATTAAAAAAACGGTGGAGATTTATTATTAAGGGATGGTGACGGACGGAGGGTAGACACGTGAAAATTTAATAATGGGAAAGAGACTCTACTGACGAGCAAAATAAAAGATGACTTGTTGCAAGAAGAGACTCTACTAACGAGCAAAATGAAATTAGAGATAAAAGGAACTCTACTGACTAGCAAAACTGTAAAAAAAAAAAAAGAAAAAAAAAAGCTAGTGGTGAGTGAAAATCAATAAGAAAAACTGAAAGGGACTCTTCTGACGAGCCAAATTCAAAAAATAGGTAAAAGAGACTTTACTGACGAACAAACTTAAATAAAATAAGAAAAAGAGACTCAACTCACGAGTAAACTGAAATTAAAGATAGAAGAAACTCTACTAGCCAATAAACTGAGATTATAGGTAAAAAGGAACTCTACTGACAAGCAAAATAAAATTTTAGATCAAAAGAACTCTACTAACAAGCAAAGAGTAATAATGTGAGAGAAAAGATACTATACTGCCAAACAAACTTAAATAAAATAAGAAAAGGACTCTACCGACAAGCAAAATAAAATAGCAACTTAGACAAGAAAAAAGGGACTCTACTGCCGAGAAAACTTAATTTTGATCTAGAAGATAAAAAAGGGACTCTAGTTACGAGCAAACCTAATTCCAATCGAGGAAATAAAAAAAGGACTCTACTGACGAGCAAAAGTGTTTCGATCTAGAAAATTAAAAAGGGGACTTGACTAACCAGCAACTTCAAATTTCATCTAGAATATGAAAAAGGACTCTACTAACAAGCAAACTTGAATTAGAAATTCAAAAATAAAAAAAAGAGTGCGCGTAAGGATCACACGCGATTGAAGTAAAACTTTTAATATTGTATGAGTAGGCAATTAAGATAAAAATAAAAAAACATCATATTTGAATTTTAAAAATAATCTTTCAATAATCACATAACATCAATTCAAACCCGCTTACAGGAAATTCAAACCATGAACGTAGAAGTTCATCATTATCGCCACGTTCTATGTACACTAATTTTCCTACACAACCATTAGCTAAGCCATCACTTACATCGATATTAGTTGTTATTATGTAAAATTTATTCAGAACTGAAATTATTTCATACGGCAAAGCCCCGGTATCAATAACCGATTTTTTTGAAACTGCTGACGAATGTATGATTGTTGATCTGTCGCATGGCAACCTACATAAATATCCGTGGCAGTAGATATTATTCAATATAAATTTATTATATTCCATGGCACATTTATTCTCTAAGAAAAGTCTTATTCCATAAGGACATAATACAGCAACCTCTTCTTTTGTAAAAAAAAAAACGTGATTCAATTAATGCAAGTTCATATAGGGTTTAGCGCTCGACTTACGCATGACATGACGGGAGTGGATCGCGACTCGCGACATCAGCGCTTACAGCGTCGTAGTGTTCAACTTCACGTTGGCGTTTTCGTTGCATTTGTACGGATTTACACCCGTGTCGCGCCTAATGAATTTTTACACCCATATCGCGCCTAAAGAAGTTTTACTTCAAAAAGGGAGGTCTACAAACGAGCAAATTTTGATTTGATTTAAATAAACAAAAAAGACTCTACTGACAAGCAAATTTAATATAGATTTAATAAATGAAAAAGGGACTCCACTGGCGAGCAAACTAACAATATTAAG